GGCCCCGCGCATGGGGCCGCAGGAGCCAATCCGAGGGTGGGAGCGGAGCGGCGCCCTGCGGAACGCGGACTCTACCTCGGAGAGGGCGGGGCGGACAATGAAGAGGTGCGGCTACAAAAGGACAATGGCGGGGCTGGGAGTTCAGAAAGGGCCGAATCGGGGAGGGGGTTGGTCTCGGGACCCGGATGGAGGGAGAGGCGAGAGGGCTGGCTTGTTTGGGACAGGGGCATGGGGACTGCTGTGCGGGGATTGCGGGGGTCACGGGGAAGCAGCAGGGGCCAGGGTAGGAAAAGAAGCCGGGACGAGGCAAGGTGGAGGCGTGGGGGGATATCCGGGGTCAGGGATCCCAGGGACGCTGGAGCGAACCCTCCTGGGTGGTGGGATGCCGCCGACAGCTTGCTCCTGCCCAGCTTCTAGTGCTCGGCACTCAGAGGTGAGAGTTGGTATGGGAAGTATTCAGATTTCACGAAATGGTGAAAAACAAGTTTTTGGAAATAAGGAACGAATTTGTCTTCCACAAGCCTCCCTTCCCTGCGCCCATCCCCGAGGAGGAGAGCGTCGTGGTCAATTTTTAAAAATACGAACTCAAGAGGAGAGTTGTGTGAGGACACACACTTCGAATCGTGATGCATCTGCAGTCTGCTCCCGCCCCATCCCACCCTACACATTGGGTGCAAGAGCCGTCTTTCATTTTATGTTATGTTATGTTATGTTATGTTATGTTATGTTATGTTATGTTATTTTGAGACAGGGTCCCGCTCTGTGGCCCAGGGTGGAGTGCAGTGGCACTATCACGGCTCACTGCAGCCTCGAACTTCCGGGCTCAGGAGATCCTCCCACCCTGTGCCTCCGGAGTAGCTGTGACTACAGGCGTGCACCACCACATCCGGCTAATTTTTAAATTTTTTTGTAGAGACAGAGTCTCACAGTGTTTTCTAGGCTGGTCTCGATCTCCTGTGTTCCAGCGATCCTCCTGCCTCGGACTCCCAAAGTGCTGAGATTACAGGTGTGAGCCTGGTGCTTGGCCACGGAGCGGTCTTCAGTGTGTCTGCACAGGGACAGGCGCAGAGAAGGCGTTGGAGGGAATTGAGGTATGAATGAAAGTTGAATGTGTGCCCCGGGGGAGTGGGGTAGGGGCCAACTGAAAGCAGCTAACTGCCCTGGGGAGCTAAGGGATGTTGGTGGCACAGGACTCACACCAACCTTATGTTGTGATAGGTACTCCATTTCACAGATGAGGACTCAGCACAGAGAGGCTAAGTGATGTTCCCAAGACCACACAGCTGGCACAGAGTTCTATCCACCCATCACTATCAAATTCTAGGGTAAAGCTCTGTGACTTTAACAGATTACTCTCCCTCTCTGAGCCTCTGTTTCCTCATCTATAAAAGAAGAATAAAGGTGCTACCTGGCAGGGAACCAGGTAAGGCACTGGGCAGGCAGCAGGCTTCAGTGGGTGAAGCATGGGCATTCCCTGCAAAAGAAATGGCATCAGACTATGGCTGAGAGACTGGTTGGAAGAACAAGGAAGAGGGTGAGCTGGAGGCTGAAGTTCAGGCTGCGGACTTGAGGGTGCCCTCTCTTCTCCAGGCCCAGGGATTGGGAGTAGGCAAGTTGGCTCCAGGAAGCTGGGACTGGTCTCTCCAGCCTGAGGGCTGGGAGAAGGCAGTTTTGCCTTTATCTGTTGAACTTGACGCTAAGAAACCTTGTGGCCCTTCCCTCTGTCCAGAGCCTTCTCTGGCTCCCGATTGCCAGCATGACCAAGCCCTACATCCCTAGCCTGGCATTCCAGCCCCTTTGTTATTGCTGTCTGCCTGCTGACCCCACCAACCTCATCTCCCCATTGCTTACTTCCCTCTCTGCTTGTGCCAACTTCTCTCAGCTCCATCAGCAAGCAGAATGCTTCCTGTCTCCATGCAGTTGTCTCCTCCTGTCCCCTGCTGTTCCCCTTCTCTCTGGAGTTAATTCCCATTTCTCTGCTGGGCTGAAGGTGGCCAAATGCCCACCTGTTCTCTTCACTGCTGTATCCCTAGAGCCTAACACGGAGCCTGGCACATAGTAGGTGCCAAATAAATAATTGTTTGAATAAATGCCCCATCTCTCATGAGAGGTGGGACATGAGATGGGTCATTTATTCAACAATTATTTACTTGGCACCTACTCCAAGATTTATCACCACCTCCGAGAAGCCTTCCTGAACTCCCCCAGGCTGCCTGCCTTTGGTCTGGGCTCCCTCAGCTTGAAGGTTCTGTAATGATTGATCCATGTCTGGTTTCCCTCCCACCCACCACCACCCAGCCTGGTACATGGCCTGCCCGTGTGAGATCTCAGCGCTGGGAGATGAATGAGGCTCTCAGAGAGTTCTCTGGCTGCCCCTACTGCGAGAGCCTCCTCAGCCAGGTCAGATGAGCAGGATGTCAGAATGAAAAGGAGCTTTTCAGAATAGACCTCCGTGACCTCTGAGGCGCTGGGGGTGTGTGGGGGGAGACATGCCCAAGGTCATCAGGAGGTGACCAGCAAACAGGTCTCAGACACCCACATTTGCCGTCTGGCCACTCTTCCAAAGGGAAGGGAGTCTTGTGAGCTGGGGAATCTGGCCTTTTGGTGGCAAATGAGTTCCACGAAGCACGACAGCGGTGGTCATGGTGGCTGGTCTGGGCGGTGGTCGAGGGCAAGGCTGCACGGAAACATTAGTCTTTTCTGCCTGATGCCCTACTGTTTCCAAGAACCTTCTACCTTCCTTACACAGAGGCAGCAGCTTCAGCTTCAGGCCCCAGGGCTGTTAAACGCAGCTCCTCCCATTCTTATGGCAGACAGACATTCACTTTCACATCTACATTTATATTAGTAATTTTTCAGTTTTTCTTAGATAGGGCCACTGAATTGTATGAGGCTCCACACCCCTGGAGATCTGCTTCCAGCAAATCCTTACACTGCATCCATATATGCAGGTCCTGTGTGAGGCATTGGCAGGGACGCTCTGCCCTCCTGCAGCTCCCTGTCTGGTGGGGTGGTTGGGCTCTATTGAGCTCATTGAGCCCTTAAAATGCTTCGTGCCTTCCTACTCCTCTGTCTCCATCCCTGCCAGCCTGGAGTCCTTTCCCTGTCTCTCCTTCCTGCATGTGTCCTGCTTGCCTAGTGGGGATTTTCTCCATCCTTCAAGGCCCTTCTCACAAGCTGATGCCTCTGAGAACCCTGCCCACTTCTCCCAGTTGCAAGCACAGCCTCTTCCTTTGGAGCCTGTGGCACTGAAGGCCCTTTGTGCCTCCTTGGAACTCTAATGCCTTTGGATCTGGGCTGCTGTTGATGGGTCAATTTTCCCACCAGATTATGAGCTTTTGGAGGGCAAGGGGTGGAGTCTGATTTCTGTCTGCCCCAGTCCCTCATTCACCAACGTTTCCTGAGTTGGACCAAGTCCTATACCAAACATTGGGTATCTAGGGGTGGGACAATCAGATGAGAACCTGCCCTCATCATCGAGGGGCCTCCAGTCCCAGAGCTGTCTGCATGGAAATGTGTACCAAGTACTTTGTGAACAGAGGAGGCTGCCTGATTCAGCTGGAGGAGGGCAAGCTGGGCCAAGGGCAGCTTCATAGGGAGGGTGATGCTTGGGTATCTAAGAAGCAGAACTTGTCAAGATAAGGAGGGAAGCGTCTTCTAGGCAGAGGGAACACTGAGCGCAAAGGCATGAAAGTGGGAATGGGCAGGTGGGGGGTGAGAAGTGAGGTGCATTTAAGGCAACAGAAATGACAGAGGGAGGGAGAAGTGAGTTGCACAACAGAGCAGTTAGAGCACAGACTCTGGAGCTGCATGGCCTAGATTCAAATCCTGACACTACCAAGTACTAGCTCTGTTGTTACTCGGTGCCTCATTTTCCTTATCTGTAGAGTGGGGATAATCCCAGTACTTACCTTGTAGGATATTTATAAGGATTAAGTGAGTTAATTTTCATAAGAAACCTAGGGTAGTGCTGATGACACGCATAAGTTCCCATTGAGTGTCAGGTAAATGAGGGGGAGCCAGAGAGGCTATGTGAGATGGGGTTCGTGTTTGGAATTTATTGGGAGGATGCTGGAGTATTAGCAAGGAGAGAGTGTGAAGGGGAGTGGGAGGCTTGGCTTGGACCCAGCCTGCTCTACCCACTCATGCACATCCAGAGGGCATCCCTGGGACCCCACCTGCCTGCCTCTCCTCCTCTCTGGCCTTC